CGTCCCAGTTCAGTTTGTTGCAGCTATAATTTACCTGATAAAAAAGTCATTTAGAATCGGATTCAATGAAAAGATCCGAGTCAAAAGAATGATTCGTTCGCGAATCGGACACCGGTAGAAGCGAGTCGCGACTCATTTTATCTCCACAAGCCGTGAATGCACGTCAAATCAATTTTATTTTATTAACCTGCCGGTAGTGTTTAATAAACCGGTCAAGCATTAACGACATAAATTGCATGAAAATAGGTTAAACTTCTTTATATGATGGTTTTTAGGATGGCGTTTAGTTTTTTAATTATTGGACTGTGAACTGTAGGTAATAGTTGGTTTTCTCTCATAAACAATTATTGGTGAGCAATATTACAATTATAATGGCAAGTATGCTTGTTGATTTGGATGTTGAGAGTCTTGGTTCAGAGGTCCATAAAGCAGACAAACCTGACTTTTCAGCAGCAAGGAAACTGTACTCTCATGTCAAGAAAATGGTGAGTACGGTGATCATTTTCATTTTCAATGAATATCAAGTTTATTGATATCATGATGATTGTAGTGTTTAATAGCAGTACTTTTCCCACGGTGTTTAGACGTTTGCAAAATTTGTGGCATCCAAGAAAGTTCCTCCAACCTGTGAAAACAGCTCACCAGCTCTTTGGCACTGCTGTGGACAGTCATTCCGAGAGTCATCATCAGTCCACAAACATGTCGAACTGGTTTTCTTTAAAATACAAATCTTTGTAATCCCAGGCTATCTGTAATCAGAAGCACATTTATAACTGGAATATAATTTCATTTCATTCACATATGTTTCATAAACACATAATCCTTTATGGATTACAATCCGCCATCAAAATGATGCATTTAATTATTCTGGCTGCTGTGAGAAAAGGTTATAAACGATCCGCCACCTGCAGGATCCTCACGTGTGATAGCCTAGTAGCCGGGACAACTTCTTTATGTTTACAGAAGTGATGTAATGACGCAGTGCCATGCTTGAATTTCCCGCGAAAACCTACCTGTACCACTCAAATTAGAAAACATTATTATAAACTAACCGTTGTGAATCGGGCTCAAGTAAGGCGATAGTTTTGAACACTGGCTGGTTATGTACTTGCTCAAATATTGATTTCGGATCATTTTTAACCAAAAAAAAGTTACGGACTGCAACTTTAATTTAACCAACTTTAAAGTTTTTTGCACTTCAGGTAAAGGGAGATGTTAAAGACAAAAGATGTTTAGGGGGCTGAGATGAAAGATGGGGTCTGAATCCCCCTTAAATAGTGTCTAAAATCACCTCTGCTCTTCACTGACTTTTTCTCAGAAAAGTGAAGGAGGTGCAGAGTGCTTTTCTGATCTGAAGGTTGGTGTTTACAAAGAAATTGTCCCTATGGGTGTAAATCCAGATATCATTTCCTACACATTGGCTGGTAAGAGAAACACCTACAACTGGATTGATACATAGTACAATTGTTTATTCAGTGTGCCTTTTTAAATATATTCAAAAGCTGGGGGTTAGATGTTTTTTGATTAATTAATACTTTCATTTAGTAAAGATGCATGAAAAATGAAATTGATCAAAAGTGACAGTAAATACATTTATAATGTCTATTGTAGATTTCAAATGCTGTTCTTTGTGTACTTCAAAAAGGAATACACTTGGAACCAGAGGAATTTCACAAAGAAGTGAAGGTGTTTGTGGAGAATCAGTCCTCGGACAAAGATACAATACTTCTGGACTGCAGAAACTTCTATGAGAGCAAAATTGTAAGTAGTTTGAAAGTCAGTGATGCCAGAACTGTATGTACATTACAGCCAATAGTTCAGTATGTTCTCAGGGTCAGTTCAGTCAGTGTTTGGCCCCCGACATCCGGAAATTCAGCTACTTCCCAGACTACGTGGATAAAAATTTGGATCTCTTCCGGGACAAAAAGGTTCTGATGTACTGCACAGGAGGCATCCGCTGTGAGCGAGGCTCGGCTTATCTCAGATCAAAAGTAAGTCTGAATGGAAAAAAATGACATATCTTTGTAATGCTATTTTCAAACGTGAATATCAATCTTCAGAATGTATGCAAGGAGGTGTACCAGCTGAAAGGAGGCATTCACGAGCAGTTCCCCGATGGCTTCTACCATGGTAAACTCTTTGTGTTTGATGAACGTTATGCCATCTCATTCAACAAGGATGTAATTTCAGGTATGTATTCATGCAAGTTTTTCAAAAATGATTGTATGGAGTGACAAACTTAACATTTACTTCTCCTTTCCCCAGAGTGCAGATACTGTAGTTGCCCGTGGGATCAATATCAGCTGTGCTCCACAGACTTCTGCTGCCAGCTGGTGCTGTCGTGCACCACCTGCAGAGAGCGTGGCCTGATGGCCTGCTGTCCTGTGTGCCAAGCCAAAGAGCAAAACCACAGCGACGTCTGTTCTGAAGAGCTTTCTCACCGAGAGGAATGCGAATGCACAATGTCACGGCCCAGAATCCCCAAAGATACACTATGACAAACTCAAGGAGTTGAAAATCATCTTAGATGGCCTATAACTTTGTGTGATTTTAAGTCTGCAAACTTCTTTTAAACTGTTGTACCAATTCAGTCATGATTTTAAAAACGGGACAATGCAAATCTTAAAATAAATTACAAATCATTCACATTCTTAATTTTATTTGACATTCAAAATCTTACATATATATGAATGGGACGGGTTAATTTGTACAACAATAATCAGGTCATTCAACTCAAACTATACACAGACACTGAACACACAGGTGATGTACATATACACACAAAGACAAAAACTTAATTTTATTACATATTTCCTTGAACTTGAGATCAAATTAATAAAAAAACACACACACAAAAACTGTCATGGTAGTCATTCTTTGAGAGAACAGCATGTAAAGCTTCAATTAAATAGTTTCCCGATGGTTTTGGCAATGTACAAGTTTCCGGCATCTGCAAAGAAGTGAACAGAAAAACATTTAATTCATTCACAAAATGAAAGATGTTAGTGCACTTTGCTTATTATGTAAAAAGGCTGATCTGCTAACCTGCTTTGTAAAGAAACAACTGTTGCCTACTGCCAGTGATAGTTGAGGTACCAGATGGTATCGTTGCGCAGTACTGGTCCAAACAACGGATTCAGCTGTGATAGAATAGCAATCAGCCAGCTGAAACATAACCAAAAGTAGAGAGTGAACAACATGACAGTCAAGAGAAAATATTGCCAAGAGACTGAAATCAGGTTCACAATTAATGTAGCAGCGAAATTTTTGGTATCCACTGCCTCCCAGTGGCTATTAGAGAACAAACACTATCATATTTCTTCAAAATAATAAATAATTCACATCAAAGTGGGACAGTTCAGTGCGATTATGAGCTTATTTAACACATTTTCCATTTGTTAAATATTATTTGTAAGCGTATTATCTGAAACTGGAGTAAACTGCACATGAAATGGCCTGGATGTGGTTTATTTCTTTTCTAATCAATGCTGGAGTTGCCCAAAGGCGGTGTTTGACTTTCAGCTGATACAGAATAGAACAATCTCTTTATTTTACCACATTAAGCAGCAGCTATTACTATAAAGTCTCTCTAGACATGTGTAACAAAGATAATTGAAAGACAATGTAACGTTACTTACAAAAGGTAGCAACAGACTGCAGTTAGCACCAGCATAGTCACAATGACTCTGAAGGGCAAAAAACAGAGATATGCAACAACAACTTATGAATAAATAACACATATTATAGCTATAAGTAGCACGTATTATAAATAAACATGCATAGAAACGTGTTTCTTTAAATCACCCTCGCCAACTTGGCACAGTCACATGATCCAGACATTCATATATTCATTCTACAACTAAAACTGAACAAACACATTTGCTTTTCATTTGTACTAAATACATTACATTTGAATTGAAGTCAAATCCCAAACTTGATTTTATTGTGACGCTCAATTGTTGGCTTTCGTAACGTAAAGTCAAACTGAACGGGGGGGGGAAACGATCAACTGTATTGTTTAAGAACACTTTTTTGTTAATAAAGTCTTTGGCGTTATAACATCTCAAATACATCGATAATTATACGTTCATACAGATGGTTTAGTACAGTAAACTTTCGTTTTAGGAAATGCTAATGTTGCTCACCCTCGATTCGGTCCTTTAGGAATAAACCAGGGAATAACTCCACCAATAAGACCCCAAAACAAAGTCATAACTGACATAGCTATCACAAACGTTGTGGCCGCCATGATATTTCTTTGTAGTTCGAGGATTATAAACTTATTTTCTCTCAAGTAAACTTCGTAGCCTCCACAGCGTTTGCGCCCAGCACTGCTGTGTGCACGGTGACGGTCATGTGACTCCTCGGGCCCTCAGCAGAACAGACATATGACTGATGTCTCACCTCTTCCTCTGCACTCACAGCTGACTAAATATACAGCTTTCTTTTGAGACTGCAAAACTTTTGGTTTGGTACACATAGTGTGTTGTGCAGGGTATGTTCCCTGCATATATTTAATCTACTCTAGAGTCACATGAAACCTCTTCACCTGCATGAATTATTTAAAATGTCATCAGCTGACTGCTTGTATTGTTAAAACCAATTAGTGCAGCAAAGCAAAACAGGGTTATTACAGTTAACTAAAACCATAAAAAAAAACATTCTTGTTGCTTGAAATAAATATTACCTGAAAAAACCCGTAAAATTACTTCAGCTTTAATTTAGTTTGCACTAAATATTTTAAATTTTAACTAGACATTTAAAAAAATTAATAGAAAAAAACCAGAAAAACTTAAAAATAGACATATTATGCCCCTTTTTACAATATGTAATATAAGTCTCTGGTGTCCCCAGAATGTGTCTGTGAAGTTTCAGCTCAAAATACTTCACAGCTCATTTATTATAACATTTTGAAAATGCCAAGTGGACGCATGAGCTGCTGCTCCCCGCCCTCTTTTCCAGAATAGAGCTGTGCCATTACAGCTCATACCTGCTAAAAACACCTGTTTTGGTTCTGATTATCATGTTTATCGTGCTGAACTCATGCGTTTTAAACCATATGAGTTTAAACTTCTGCTATACGGTTTTCTGAGCGCACACAAATCCGAAGCACACGGACAGAAAGCGGCTGTCACAGCATGTGAGTACTAAACTAAGTTCTCATTCACACACAAGTTTATGTTAAAAACTCACGAGTTACAAAAAACAGTCGGTTATGTCTGTGAAGGTAAACTGTGGGGAAATACATTGCATGTTTATTTTAGATCTGTGTGGCAGCAGCAGTAAATAAATCAATGCATCCACTGCTCTGTTGTCTCCTCTGAAGCTGGGACTGTAAATAGTGTTCTGTGCTCATCTGTGCAGCCAAAGACAGAACAGTTAGCATGTTTTGCTCAAACTTTCGCCATGGCATTAGCAGTGTTGGGGGTAACTCATTACAAGTAATGCGAGTTACGTAATCAGATTACTTTTTTCAAGTAACTAGTAAAGTAACGCATTACTTTTTTTAATTTACAAGAAAATATCTGAGTTACTTTTTCAAAAAAGTAATGCCAGTTACTTTGTTTTCCCATTTATTGACTGACAGCTCTCCTGTCCCCATATTGGGAGAAATCGGGAGTACAGAGGCGTTGTGTGAACATGATGTTACTGTAGTTCTAGACTAAATTTGAATGTGCATTAATTCATCCCACTCACAAAAAACAGATTTAGTATTCATCAAAATGAATTAAAACAGCGAAATGCAAACTCAGAATATGATGCAAATCTGCAATAATTAAATATGTTAAATAACACAAATGTATCTAATCCCATTTTATTAACCAATGTCTTTGCTGCTGACCTTTGATGATCCAGTTCAACCGTACTAATAAGCATAAATGACTTTAGAGAAACTAACAATTGTGCTTTGTTTTTTTATTGCTGAAGAGTGTTTCTTCTCCTGTGTTCTACTGTACAGACGTGAATTTACTTTTGCTTCAGCCTGAGGTTTATTCATTACACTTTTTGGTGTGAAAGGGCTTTTATATTTGATATAAATAGAACTTCTTATATTAAAAACAATCAAGCCCTGCTTATATTTAAAAAGTTACGCAAAAGTAATGTAACGCATTACTTTCCATAAAAAGTAACTAAGTCACGTAATTAGTTACTTTTTTAGGGAGTAACGTAATATTGTAATGCATTACTTCTAAAAGTAACTTTCCCCAACACTGGGCATTAGAACTGGTACACCGTTGTCACTTGCGAAATCAAAATGATGTTGCCATGGGTGGAATAATATTATAATATTAATGAGATCCCTTTACGTCACCAAGGGAGCGAAATCTGACATGCTCTTTTTTTTCAGATGCTTGCAGAAAAAGGCTTACGAAAACAAAGTTTCTGGGTTAACCTTTTTCACGTTTCCTTGGTTGGTAGATGCACCGGGGACCTGATTATAGCACTTAAAACCTGGAAAAGTCAGATTTTCATGATGTCGCCTTTAAAAAAAATCATAAAAACTGAAATTGTATCCCGATGATACTAAACACTCTGAATTCCCACTCTCTTTGGCACATTAATTTCCAATCATTTGCAAATAGTGGATCCAAAAATACATCTAGATAGATACAAATGCATGGCTATTCAGTGCCTGAAAGTCGCAATTTTAAAATTCCCTTATATTTATGTGACACTGCTTTTGCGTCCTATGACAAAAAGACAATTGACAACTCCATTCAGTTAAACAAGTGGCCATATAGGAAGTAGTTGTGTCTTGTGTGCCTGCGAAGCATTTGAATTTCCCCAGGACTAATTTTTCTGTTTAGATACCAGTTATTGCGCACGCTGTGATTTTCAGATGTTATACAAATGAAAACATAGATCGCACTAAAGCTGAGCTTAAATCCAGATTCTTTCATTTCAAGTTCAATTTGGTAACAACACTGCCATTTCAAACCAAAGCATCACTTTTATATAAAAAAACAAAACAAGCACAGAAATTTTGACAACTCCATTCAGTTAAACAAGTGGCCATATAGGAAGTAGTTGTGTCTTGTGTGTCTGCGAAGCATTTGAATTTCCCCAGGACTAATTTTTCTGTTTAGATACCAGTTATTGCTCACGCTGTGATTTTCAGATGTTATATAAATGAAAACATAGATCGCACTAAAGCTGAGCTTAAATCCAGATTCTTTCATTTCAAGTTCAATTTGGTAACAACACTGCCATTTCAAACCAAAGCATCACTTTTATATAAAAAAAACAAAACAAGCACAGAAATCCAGACTCTAACATTGACCAGGTAGGAAAAACTGGAAATGTCCTCACCTGGACCTCATCATCCTTACGGATGGGCACGGATCTCACGTTGTACTTCTGGCGGAGCTCTTTGGACAGAGGGGAGGACATGATCTTCCTGCGGATGTGTGAAGGGGCATTGAAGTGCCTCTTGCGGTTTTTGCGCCGGGAGGAGGTCACAAATTTATTGAGCTTCATGATGGCTGCTGATGAAAAGGACAATCAAAATTTGAACATTTAAAAACACACACATCTGCAAAATAAATAATTGTAAACTTATGTAGTTGGGTTGCAATAAAACCACATTCAACACATAAGTAAAACTGGGCTTGTAGAAAAGTGAACCTGTCAAACTTTCCTCACACTTGGGTTTGTCAAGATACACTGGCACATCTCTCAATGGACAAATCAGCAGTGGTATTACATAAAACACTATATATTACATAAACAGTAATACGCTAAAAGCTTGGAATTGATGTATTGACAACACAGTGGATTTGACAAGCATGTTCAACATCTCGTGGTATTGCTATAGTCTTTTCAACTTGACATGACAATTTAAGCACACACATCTTACCATTTCATTTATTTTGTGCTTCAAGAGCGTTAAGACGCAACACGATTAAAACAACATATAGCACGCCCAAACGGAAAGCGTGACCTTGCGT